TCTGCAACTCAAAACCCCTGTCTTCAAGCTATAAGACCAACTGAAGTCAAGCACAACTTCAGTTTCTCAAGTGTAACGACCTTAGTCAACATATCAGCAGGGGTCTTGCTTCCACAAATTTTCTCAAGTAGCAATTGTCTGTCATCTAACAATGATTGAATAAAGTGATACCTGATTTGAAAGTGCTTGGTCCTGGATTGAAATGCTGGATTTCTGGCTAGGAATATGTTGCTCTGGCTATCACTGTAGAGAGTGTCTTTCTGAACCTCCTTGTCAATTCCTCCAAGAAACTCTGCAGCCATATGATCTCCTTAACGACCTCTGATACTGCAACATACTCAGCTTCTGCAGTGAACAAAGAAACTGTCTTCTGTAGATTTGAGCCACATAACACTGCAGTAACGCTAAGAGTATAAACATAACATGTAGTACTCTTCCTATTATCAATGTCTCTAGCTAAATCTGGATCGACATAACCCACTAACTCCAGGATTTTTCTTGAGAAACACAAACAGGTTTCTGAATAGCCTCTTAGGTATCTCAAGCTCGACTTCACAGCTTCCCAATGTTTCTTTCTTGGATTACTACCTAGATTAATGTATCTGCTCACAACTCCCACTTCATGGGCAATATCTAGTCTGGTGCAGATCATAGCATACATGAGTGAACCAATAGCTGAAGCGTAAGGAACTTTACTCATGTAGTCTTGTTCCTCCTCTGTCTTGGGAGACTGATTTTTGTTGAGTCTGAAGTGGCTGCCCAAGGGTGTGCCAACTAGCTTGGCCTTTTCCATGTTGAACCTGCTAAGCACCTTTTTCACATATTTAACCTGTGAAAGCCTCAACGTGCCCTTGACTCGATCTATGACAATCCTCACGCCAAGGATTTGCTTTTCCACTCCCAAATCCTTCATTGCAAAGTGTTATGACATCTGCTTTTTGAGATTATTTATCTCATCAATTTTTTGCCCCTGCAATAAGCAAATCATCCACATATGATATAAGAATTGTTAAAGTACTTGACATAACAACAGTGATCTTCTTGGTATCTGTTGTACTTTGTATTGAGCATGAATTTATCAAATTTCTTGTACCACTGTCTGGGAGCTTGCTTTAGGCCATACAAGCTCTTCTTGAGTCTGCAAACTGAATCTTTTTTTCCTTGTACGACGAACCCTTTAGATTGGTGCATATAGATGTCTTCTTCAGGATCTCTATGAAAAAAAGTTGTCTTCACATCTAATTGCTCCAAGAACAGATCTTCGGTAGCAACCATAGCCAGGACCATCCTAATGGTTGTGAGCTTTACCACAAGAGAAAAGATCTCAGAGTAATCAATACACTGCTTTTGTTGAAAGTCTTTTGCAACAAGTCTGACCATGCACCTTTTATTGTCATCAAGCTCAGTCTTCACCCGGTACACCCACTTGTTGTGCAATACCTTCTTTCCTGGTGGAAGTTCTGTCAGCTCCCATGTCTGATTTCCTAGTAGGGAATCCATCTCCTCCTTCATGGTCAGCTCCCACTTTCTAGAATTTTCATCTGCTAAGGTTACTTCATAGCTCTGTGGTTCCCCACTGTCTGTTAGCAAGATGTAGTTCAAAGTTGATGAGTAGCACTGTGGCAAACGGTTGCTCCTGACTAACCTACGAACTGCGGTTAGAGTAGTGAATGACTCTGAACTTGACAGCGAAATAATAAGAATTGGTGCCCTAGACCCATTCTCCTCGTCTTTCTCATCTCCGCCCTATTCTCTGATCTATGGTAGATCATCAAACTCCACGAACTCTGAATTTTGAGGAGCTACTTCAGATTTTGTACTAGCCTTGTCCTTGTACATCATCTTCTCATTTTTGCTCCTGATGTCCTTCCGATCCTGATCATACCAGAAACGATAACTGAATGCTTCGTCTCCATAGCCAATGAAATAACATTTATTTGATTTAGCCTCAAGCTTGCTACGTGCATCAAGATTGATTAGAACATAAGAAAGACAACCAAAAGTCTTAAGATGAGAAAATTTAACCTTTTTTGCTGCTTTAGACCTCCTCTGGTAATTTACAGTCTAATGGGATGGATGACTCTCTGTTGATCAAGTAAACTGCAGTGCTGACCGCATCTGCCCAGAAGGTTGGTGGTATTCCAGCGTGCAATCTCATGTTCCTAGCACGCTCATTGATGGTTCTGTTCATGTGTTCTGCAACTCCATTTTGTTGTAGTGACCCCGGAATGTTCTTCTCCATTCTCATACCCTGAGTGCGCAGTACTCCTTGAACCTACCATCAATGCACTCACCACCATTGTCAGATCTCAAACATTTAGGTTTTAGATATGTTTTCGTTTCAACCATAACCTTCCACGTTTTAAACACAGAAAATACATCAAACTTATGCTTCAGAAAGTAAACCCATACATTTCTGCTGCGGTCATCTATGAATGTGACGTAATAGCGAGAGCCTCCAAGAGAAGCCACTAGGGAAAGCCCCCACACATCGGTGCGTACCAGTTCTAGTTTTTTTGCCTTTGACACCCTGCCACCTTTCAGGAAACTGACATCCTTATGTTTCCCCATGATGCAAATTTCACACATGCCGAGATCAGTTGACTTCAATTCTGGTAACTTGCCTCTGAATTGAAGCTCTTTCATACCTCTCTGACTCATGTGTCAAAGTCTGCAATGACACATGTCTATTATGCTCTCTATAAATGTAGTATCAACACTGTTAATTAGACTGGTGGTCATATACAGCGTACCAACCTTTTTGCCCCGAGCCAATACCAGAGCTCCTTTGATAACCTTCCAGGTGTTATCAGAGAACACTACTGAATGTCATCTCTCATCGAGCTGCACAACAAATATGAGGTTCTTTTTCAGTTCATGAATGTGTCTAACCTTTTGCAAAATCTATTTGTTTTTGTTAGGGAGTGCAATTTCAACATCTCCCATCCCCACCACGTTCAAAGCTGATCCATCAGTCAGGCACACCTTCCCAAAGTCACCTGTAACATAGTTTTTCATTAACTCCCGATGAGAAAATGTATGAAAGGAAGCCCCTGAGTCCAGTATCTATTCATCAATGGAGTTATGAACTGCAAGAAATAACACATCCTGCATTTCTTTAGTTACAGTGTTAGCACTGACGTCCTCCATCTTCTTAGGATTTTTGCAGTTCTTCTTCATGTGGTCAGTTCACAATTCCAACAGGTTGCTTGCTGACCAGGCCTTGACTTGCTTTTGCTTCTGTGCTTTGATTTCGACCTTCCTCTATCTGAGTTTTTGTCCTGTGATCTCTCTTTGGAATCAACATTCAGTGCTGAACTCGAACCTGAGGTCTCACCAGAATCTTTCCTGCGCACCTCTTCAACCAGAATCAAGCACGAATATCATCATATTTCCGCTTGGATTTACCTGCAGAGTTGTTAACTGTCATCCTCAAGACTTCCCAGCTATTTGACAATGAAACCAATAATATCAGTGCACGTATCTAATCGTAAAAATCAATTTTAACAGATAACAATTGATTTGTGATGGTGTTGAAATCATTCATATGTTGAAAAACAGACACACATTCCTCCATCTTCAGATTGAATAACTTTTTCATCAAGTGCACCTTGTTATTCACTGAAGATTTTTCATACATACATGATAAGGCTGTCATAAGTTCTGTCGTCGTCCTCTCCTTTATGACATTGTGAGCAGCAGTCCTCGATAGGTTAATCGAATAACTCTCAGAACCTGTCAATCCAACAGATTCCAATAAGCCTCTTCCATCTTCTTCGGTCGCTTTCCCAGTAGTGGAAGATGAAGTTTCTTTTCATAGAGGTAATTCTCTATCTGCATCCTCTAGTATTCAAAATCTGTGTCATCGGACTTCTCGATCCCCAAAACCTTTACTTTGTCTACGGCCATCGTTCTTCCTCAGATCCGAACTAGGGCTCTGATACCAATTGTTATGAAAAAACGACGACAGTAAAGCGAAAAACAGATTGAGAAAAATTACACCAGAAAAAAAGGCGAAACAAGATTTACGTGGTTAGTCAAATTTGCTTACGTTCACGGAGCTGCAGAGGATTTTACTACATGAGGAAATTTCACCGTCGAACGCCTCGACATTTCCAAAAGAAAATCTCCCTTTTTCTTTCCCTTCCTCTCTCTCTTCCTCTCTCTCTTCACCTCTCTCTCTTCCCCTCTCTCTAAATACGTTACAACCAAAAGAAAAAGAAGGGAAAACAAAAGAAATCCCCTAACCCCTAAGCCACCTAGCACAAGAGTCCAAAGGGAAAAAGACAAAAGCTTTTTATTTCTTCTCCTTTCCGGCCGTGGTTGTGAAGAGTGTTTTGGATGGTGAGATAGTCAGAAGCAGACCCCCTTTTATAACAAGAGAAATAAGCCTGAAGAGACAAACTTTTGGAAGATCTCACGCGGTTACATGGTTTCGCAAGAGGAGTTGGCGGGACCGCAGGACTGCGGGACCGCAGGAAGAATTTGGCGAGACCACGTCAAGGGGAAAGGGAAGTTGGCGGTGCAGGCTGAAATCAAATAAGACATAAAAGTTAATTCCTAATTATCATAGTGGATTGAATCTCCACTAATCCCAACAGTTCCTCTCATGAGTATCTCCAGAATACTTGGTAATTAATACTAGATAATGATAGCTGGGCTTGCTCATAATGGGGCCAATACTAAAGCCCATTCATACGAACATTCTGGTCTAGCCTGTTTAAATCAAGGTATTTGGCAAGAAATTAAGAGAGAAGTCGATCCATAAAAGAAGACCATCTAAACAGATAAGCACCGATAACATACTTGTGCTGAAAATGGCAACTCTGTTGTACAGCCATGGTCAAACCAGTTTGTTAAAGTCAACGTCAGTTCGGCTCCTTCCTCTTTTTTCTCCCTTCCAGCCTTTTTCCCTCTCACTCTTTCTCTAAAAACACCACCTTCCCGTAGGTAGACGCAGCCCTCCCCATTCTCCATCCACTGCCCTCTCCTCCGTCTCCATGGACCAGAAAGCCGGCTTCTTCAGCGATCTCAAGGGAGGCAAAAACTCTAGCGTCCTCTGCTTCCGCGCCACCATGAGCACATCCGCCGGCGTGTGGCTCGACGAACACCCCCTCGAGTTCTCCTTTCCCCTCCACCTCGCGCAACTCTCCATCATCATCCTCTCCTGCCATCTCGTCCATTTCCTCCTCCGTCGCATCGGCCTCCCCAAAGTCATCTCCCACACCATCGTACGTACGCTTTCCCTTCCCTTGTCCTCCCCCAATCCCCAAAATCTCATCTTTTCATCTTCTTCTCCCTCCAGGCCGGCATCCTTCTCGGTCCCTCCCTCCTCTCCCGGAACCATCTCTTCCAGGAAATTATTTTCCCCCTCCGCAGCTGGGTTCACCTCGAAGTCGTCTCCCAACTCGCCTTCGTTCTCTTCATCTTCGTCATCGGAGTCAAGACCGATCTCGGCCTCATCCGCCGCTCAGGACGCGAGGCCTTAGGCGTCGCAATAACCAGCACCGTCTTCCCCTTCATCACCATCATCGTGGCTGCCCTCGCTCATTCTGGCATTGTTAACGACACCAGCTATGGCAGCATTGTAATCAATATCGCTCGACGATGGTCCCTCACTTCCAACACCGTCGTCGCTTGTCTTCTAGATGAGTTCAATTTGCTCACCACCAACCTCGGCCGTCTAGCTCTCTGCGCCTCTCTAATTTCCGACAGCTCTCTCGTCATGATAGTCGCCATCTTCAACTCCATATATTACAGCAACTCCATCCTCTTCACCTTCGCATCCCTCTTCTCTTTTATCGGCTTAATCCTCTTCATCTGGGCCGTAGCACGCCCGCTCGCCGTCTGGATAGTTCGCCGGACTCCGGTCGGCGCCGCTCTCGACGACAACTGCTTCATCTTCGCTCTCCTGCTAGCTCTAGGCGGTAGTATATGCGGCGAGCTCATCGGCGAAACTCTCATGACAGGTCCTCTGTTCCTCGGCCTTCTCCTCCCCAGCGGTCCTCCTCTCGGGAACGCCCCCC